ATTTTTATGTTGGATGGCCTCATTTATTCGACGTTGGAAATAGACCGAAATTAGAAGAGTTTAGTCAAATCCAGGCTTTGAGAAACAGTGATTTATCTTAATACTGTCCTACCATTCTATTTTTCCACTTGAAAATTTTCATTACTGTTAATAGACATTGGGAGATCGGTCTGTCTGGTCCCCACTCGAAAGCACTTAGGTGTGACCTGTGAGTTAAATTGGGCTTCCAGTATTGAAATCTACAATAGCTTGAAGTGCGGTGGGTGAGGGGGAGGGGGGAAGGCGGGTTAATAACGACCGACCTATTGTAACCATGTATGTTTTCTATAATACGTACAGCAGAGTACTATTGTTTTGTGAACATGGGATTTACACCGATTTTATAAACTGGATGATATTCAATGTGTTCATTGGTCGTGATTTTTCGGAAGGAGGCGGATTGTTTTCCATCGGGCCTAAGGATAACAGTTCAATCTGAGTTGTTTAAGTTGATTACTTTCACCATCATCGGATGAACGCCAACCAATACAATAATATTAAAAGTGGAACTTCGTCGTGGCAGATGAACGTGAGCTGAAAAACTAGGAAGCACTGGACGGTTGTTTAAAAAATAAAATAAATGTCTTTTTACTTCCTTTTTTATTTATTGGATACACCAATGTGCATGCAACATTCAGGAAGGGGGTCCGCGGCCATACAAAGGCTGCCTGGTTGGGTTTCATCGGCAGTGCGAATCTCTCGACCCCATTGGGGATCGAACCCGGGACCTCGTGAGCAGAACGCAAGCATGATACCCACGTGGGAACCCGGCAATTATTCAGACTGTTTTTCACTTTCCATTTACACGATATATCGAGCGTTTTGCAGACCACAGACCTCGCTCATCACGGCACTATCCTCCGGGGTAATGACTCGGTGGAAAACAATCACATATGTATATATATATATATATATCTATATATATAAGCGACGGCAATTGAGTCTATCGATGGGCTTTGTCGCACTAACGGGCAACCGGGTGAACAATAATCGCAATTGACTGGTAAGCAAGTGTGTGGAGTAAGATGTCAGATCGATAACCGCCGTCTCGCGGACTCGCCTG